TTCAGTGGAGAGAAATAAATGGGATTAGGTCAATGGTTTCAAATAGAGTTAGAGCTAAAGAAGGAGTAGCAATAATGTTGAAGGATAAGCTATGGCAGGAAAAGAGGGAGTGTAAATGTATTAATTCAAGGATTATGTGGAGTAAAATACATGTAAAAGGTTGGATGTGAAAAGTGGGTTATAGTAAGCATATATGCACTTGGAGAAGAGAGAAGTGTAGAGGAGAGAGAGAGATTTTGGGAAATGTTGAGTGAATGGATAGGGAGTTTTGAACCAAGTGTAAGAGTACTTGTGGTTGGGGATTTCAATGCTAAAGAGGGTAAAAATGTTGTGGAGGGAGTAGTAGGTAAATTTGGGGTCTCATGGGTAAATGAAAATGGGGAGCCTTTAATTGAGCTATATGTAGAAAGAGGTTTGATAATAAGTAATACATATTTTATGAAAAAGAGGATAAATAAATATACAAGGTATGATATAGCACGTAATGAAAGTAGTTTGTTAGATTATGTATTGGTGGATAAAAGGTTGATGGGTAGGCTCCAGGATGTACATGTTTATAGAGGGGCAACTGATATATCGGATCATTATTTAATTGTAGCTACAATTAGAGTAAGAGGTAGATGGGACAAGAAGAAATTGGCAGCAACAAGTAAGAGAGAGGTGAAAGTGCATAAAGTAAGGGAGGAGGAAGTTCGGGTGAGATATAAGCAACTATTGGCAGAAAGGTGGGCTAGTGCAAGTATGAGTAGTGGGGGGGGGGGGGTTGAAGAGGGTTGGAATAGTTTTAAAAATGCAGTACAGTGGAACCTCAAATATTGAACTTTCTTCGGTCCAGAAGTCTGTTCGAGTGCCTTTACCGAATGAATTTATTCCCATCAGGAATAATGTAAATTAGATTAGTCCATTTCAGACCCTTAAAAATACACTTATAAAAGCACTTACAAAAATACACTTACATAATTGGTTGTGTTGGGAGCAGTTCGATTTTTGAGGTTCCACTGTATTAGAATGTGGGGCAGAAGTTTGTAGTTATAGCAGGGTGGGTGCAGGAGGAAAGAGGAGTGATTGGTGGAGCGATGAAGTAAAGGGTGTGATAAAAGAGAAAAAGGTAGCTTATGAGAGTTTTTTTACAAAGCAGAATTGTTATAAGAAGAGCAGAGTATATGGAGAGTAAAAGAAAGGTGAAGAGAGTGGTGAGAGTGCAAGAGGAGAGCAGATGATAGAGTGGGAGAGGCACTTTCAAGAAATTTTAATAAAAACAGGAAAATTTTTTGGAGTGAGTTAAACAAGTTAACCCTTTCAGGGTTTTTGACATACTAGTACGGCTTACGCACCAGGGTTATTGACGTACTAGTACGTATAAATTATAGCGCCTTCAAATCTAGCGAGAGAAAGCTGGTAGGCCTACATATGAAAGAATGGGTCTATGTAGTCAGTGAGCACAGTATAAAAAAAATCCTACAGCACACAGTGCGTAATGAGAAAAAAAACTTTGAGTGTTTTTGGTTTAAAACAGCGACTTTGCACTGTATTTGCGTATAGTATTTATGGTTGTATTCTAGTTTTCCTGGTCTCATTTTATAGAATGGAAGACATTTTACAGAAATTGAGATGATTTTGATTGGTTTCACAGTGAAAAGTACCTTGAAATTGAGCTCAAAGTGGCAGAAATGTTCGATTTTTGCCAAAGTTCAAAAGTAAACAAATCATGCCACGCATCCAATACACATCAACTAGTGAGTCTAATATTCTTTCACAAGTGCACTGATATTATTTATACCATTTCTACACTAAAGCAGTAGTCTGCATAACAGTAAATCTATTTTTTGTGAGAAAAATTCAAAGTGGAAAGCAAAAGATATGTAAGAGGGGCCTGGGGATGTGACAAATGAACAGAGGAAATTTTATTTTAGTGCCAGGAATGTCTGTCTTGTTTATTCTGGACCCTATTTGGAAATTGGCATCTTTTGAAATTTGTGTGTAATTGGCAAAATTACTAATTTCTGACCACTATTGGATAGTTGAAATCAGTAAATACGTGGTTTATTGTACTCATTCGATAGAAAAAATGGAGTTCTAGCAAAATAGTTATGATTTTTGTTGACTAGTACACTGGAATTGGCCAAAAATAGGGCTCAAAGTTGGCGAAATCGCCGGTGCGTAAACATCGTCAAGACCGCTAAATTTGCGAGAGCATAATTCCGTAAGTTTTCCATGAAATTTCATACTTTTGGTGTCATTATGATCAGGAAAAGATTCTCTATCTTTTCACAAGAAAAAAATAATTCTTTTTTCCGAAAAATTTTCGACCCTGAGAACAAGTTTAGGAGAGGGCCTCTCGACCCTGAAAGGGCTATGAAAGCCCAGGGAATGAATGGATTTGTCAATTAAAAACAGAGTAGGGGAGTTAGTAGATGGGGAGATGGAGTTATTGGGTAGATGGCGGGAATATTTTGAGGAACTTTTAAGTGTCGACAAAGAAAGGGAGGCGGTAATTTCATGCATTGGGCAGGGAGGTATATCATCTTTTAGGAGTGAAGAAGAGCAGGATGCGAGTGTGGGGGAGGTGCGTGAGGCATTACATAGAATGAAAGGGGTAAAGCAGCTGGAACTGACGGTATCATGGCAGAGATCTTAAAAGGAGGGGGGATATAGTGTTGGAGTGGTTGGTATTTTTGTTTAATAAATGTATGAAAGAGGGAAGGTACCTAGGGATTGGCAGAGAACATGTATAGTTCCTTTAAAGGGAAGGGGAACAAAAGAGATTGTAAAAATTATAGGGGAATAAGGAGGGGTTCGGGATATTAGCAGTTTGGAGGGATATGTTGTGTATATTTATAGGTATATGCTTCTAAACTGTTGTGTCCTGAGCACCTCTGCAAAAACAGTGGTTATGTGTGAGTGAGGTGAAAGTGTTGAGTGATGATGAAAGTATTTTCTTTTTGGGGATTTTCTTTCTTTTTTGGCTCACCCTACCTCGGTGGGAGACGGCCGACTTGTAAAAAAAAAAAAAAAAGTTTACTGAGTACAGTGGACCCCCGCATAACGATTACCTCCGAATGTGACCAATTATGTAAGTGTATTTATGTAAGTGCGTTTGTATGTGTATGTTTGGGGGTCTGAAATGGACTAATCTACTTCACAATATTTCTTATGGGAACAAATTCGGTCAGTACTGGCACCTGAACATACTTCTGGAGTGAAAAAATATCGTTAACCGGGGGTCCACTGTATACCAGGAAAAGTGTACAGTAGGGTTATTATTGAAAGAATTAGAGTTAAGAGAGAGAGTAGGATTGCGGATGAGCAAGGAGGCTTTAGAGTGGGTAGGGGATGTGTAGATCAAGTGTTTACATTGAAGCATATATGTGAACAGTATTTAGATAAAGGTAGGGAAGTTTTCATTGCATTTATGGATTTAGAAAAGGCATATGATAGAGTGGATAGGGGAGCAATGTGGCAGATGTTACAAGTGTATGGAATAGGTAGTACATTACCTTATGAGGACAGTGAGGCTCAGGATAGGGTGTGTAGGAGAGAGGGAGATTACTTTCCGGTAAAGTAGGACTTAGACAGGGATGTCATGTCACCATGGTTGTTTAATATATTTATAGATGGGGTTGTAAAAGAATTAAATGCTAGGGTGTTGAGGAGAGGCGTGGGATTAAATTATGGGGAATCAAATACAAAAGGGGAATTAACACAGTTACCCTTTGCTGATGATACTGTGCTTATAGGAGAGTCTTAAGAAAAATTGCAAAGGTTAGTGGATGAGTTTGGGAGAGTGTAAAGGTAGAAAGTTGAAAGTAAACACAGAAAAGAGTAAGGTGATGAGGGTATCAAATGATTTAGATAAAGAAAAATTTGATATAAAATTGGAGAGGAGGTGTATGGAAGAAGTGAATGTTTTCAGATATTTGGGAGTTGACGTGTCAACGGATGGATTTATGAAGGATGAGGTTAATTATAGAATTGATGAAGAGAAGAAGGTGAGTGGTGTGTTGAGGTATATGTGGAGACAAAACACATTATCTATGGAGGCAACGAAGGCAATGTATGAAAGTATAGTGGTACCAACACTCTTATATGGGTGTGAAGCTTGGGTTGCAAATGCTGCAGTGAGGAGACGGTTGGAGGCAAAGAAAACCATTCATATTGGTGGTAATATTTAACAAATCATTAGTGTGAAAATTGAGAAATTTGAGTAGAATACAATGTGATAGGCAGCAGGTGTTGCCGAGATAATACGTATAGTGTACATCATTGCAAGCGCTACTGTACCTCTTTCTTCCTTACATCCTCCACGTGTGATATGCCTGTGACCAGTTTTGAGAGTTTTCCTACTGCAGCCTGGCCATGGGCCAGGCTTGTGGTGCTTGCTTGACCAGCCAGGCTGTTGCTGGGTAAGATATGGTATAAAATACTGACATACGTGAAGTAAGATTCACGGATATTTTATTGAGAAAGCTGTGCTACAAATGACTTCTTAAGTCCACTTTCACTAATTGTCACGCAAATACGTTCTTGTTTTTCATCCCCTTCCATTGTTTTTCAGTTTATACCATCTAATTCATCATTTAAAATCTGGCTTAGGTAATTCATTAAAGAAGATATTAAAGAATCATGGTACCATCATACATAGTTGTCTGACCTCTGCTGTGGATATAAAAGCAATCCAGGTCTGGCATATTGATAAAAATTATTTCTTCTGTCTGGCAGCCCTTCTTCACTTATTTAGCTCTTTTATAAGATTTTACCAAAGCTTTAAATACCCTGAATACTTTTCTTTCAACCTAACTGACCTTTTTATGTACAAGACTTGTAAATCCTCAAAATATCTGTAAATCCTCAGAATATTTGTATTTTTACAAAATGTTTACATGTGACATCATCATATAGCATTTCTCTTGCTAAAGGCACAGTTAAGTTTAATTTTTGTATAAGGTTATTTTACTGGTAATTAATATTATTTTTGTGTAACTTATAAATTGTTTACTTAGGTAATGGGCTATAAAGGCCCTGCAGTGGTAGTTGTGTCATGTGTTACTGTGGATCCACCCTATCGCCCACATCCGCACAATCTAGTCGGAAAGGAGGGATGTAAAAAGGGTGTGTGTACTATGACTATCAACAATGACTCCATGCAGTGCGTCTTCAGCAACCTCGGTATTCAGTGTGTTAAAAAAAGGGATGTTGAAGATGCCTTGAGGCTAAGAGAAGAAATACGTGTTGACCCTTTTCAAAGTAAGTAATATATCTGAGATTGAGGAACCACTACCTGATGAAGATTACAGTTACCATAACACCATTCACATGGCTTTTTAGCTGAAAGAGGCCATGTCATAGGGCATAATGATAGTTGAGGTGAACCAAAGAATAGATAAAGGGGAAATTGTAGGTGGAATTGTTGAGGTATCCATGGAGAGAAAGTTTATGGAGCTAAAAAGTGTAATGTTCCATAGTATAGTGGTACCACCCTTTTGTGTATATAACAATGAGGATGAGCAAGGAGGTTTCAGAGTGGGTAGGGGATGTGTAGATCAAGTATTTACATTGAAGCATATATGTGAACAGTATTTAGATAAAGGTAGGGAAGTTTTTATTGCATTTATGGATTTAGAAAAGGCATATGATAGAGTGGATAGAGGAGCAATGTGGCAGATGTTTTAAGTATATGGAATAGGTGGTAAGTTACTAAATGCTGTAAAGAGTTTTTATGAGGATAGTGAAGCTCAGGTTAGGGTGTGTAGAAGAGAGGGAGACTACTTCCCAGTAAAAGTAGGTCTTAGACAGGTATGTGTAATGTCACCAGGGTTTTTGTTTAATATATTTATAGATGGGGTTGTAAAAGAAGTAATGTTAGGGTGTTCAGGAGAGGGGTGGATTAAATTATGGGGAATCAAATACAAAATGGGAATTGACACAGTTGCTTTTTGCTGATGATACTGTGCTCATGGGAGATTCTAAAGAAAAATTGCAAAGGTTAGTGATGAGTTTGGGAGTGTGTGTAAGGTAGAAAGTTGAAAGTGAACATAAAAAAAGAGTAAGGTGATGAGGGTATCAATGATTTAGATAAAGAAAAATTGGATATCAAATTGGGGAGGAGGAGTGTGGAAGAAGTGAATGTTTTCAGATACTTGGGAGTTGACGTGTCGGCGGATGGATTTAGGGAAAGGATGGGGTTAATCATAGAATTGATGAGGGGAAAAGAGGCGAGTGGTGCGTTGAGGTATATGTGGAGACAAAAAACATTACCTATGGAGGCAAAGAAGGGAATGTATGAAAGAAAGGGTACCAACACTCTTATATGGGTGTGAAGCTTGGTTGTGAATGCAGCAGCAGGAGGCAGTTGGAGGCAGTGGAGATTTTTCCTGTCTAAGGGAAATGTGTGGGTAAATATTATGCAGAAAATTCGGAGTGTGGAAATTAGGAGAAGGTTGGAGTTAATAAAAGTATTAGTCAGAGGGCTGAAGAGGGGTTGTTGAGGTGGTTTGGTCATTTAGAGGGGAATGGATCAAAGTAGAATGACATGGAGAGCGTATAAATCTGTAGGGGAAGGAAGGTGGGGTAGGGGTCGTCCTCGATAAGGTTGGAGGGAGGGGGTAAAGGAGGTTTTGTGGGCGAGGGGCTTGGACTTCCAGCAAGTGTGCATGAGCGTGTTAGATAGGAGTGAATGGAGACGAATGGTATTTGGGACCTGATGATCTGTTGAGTGTGAGCAGGGTAATATTTAGTGAAGGGATTCAGGGAAACCGGTTATTTTTATATAGCAGGACTTGAGTCCTTGAAATGGGAAGTACAATGCCTGCACTCTAAAGGAGGGGTTCGGGATATTAGCAGTTTGGAGGGATATGTTGTGTATTTTTATAGGTATATGTTTCTAAGCTGTTGTGTTCTGAGCACCTCTGCAAAAACAGTGATTATGTGTGAGTGAGGTGAAAGTGTCGAATGATAATGAAAGTATTTTCTTTTTGGGGATTTTCTTTCTTTTTTGGGTCACCCTGCCTCGGTGGGAGTCAACCGACTTGTTAAAAAAAAAAACATTGAGGACATTTTGTTTGAGAACAATGCTTTTTTATTTATTTTTTTAACACACTGGCCATCTCCCACCAAGGCAAGGTGACCCGAAAAAGATTTTTTTTCTTTTTACATTAGTAATTTATATGGGATAAAGAGTTACTAGTCCCATGCTCCTGGCAATTTAGTTGCCTCTTACTACATGCATGGCTTACAGAGGAAGGATTCTTCTCCACTTCCTCATGAAGTTTGAGAACAATATGTGGTGTGAATATTAGGCAAAAAAAAAAAAAAAATCTGTGTGTATGAATTTGAAAGACAGTGGGAGGTTATGAAAGATATAAAGAGGGCAGAAGAAGGGTTGTTGAGGTGGTTTGGGCATTTACAGAGGATGGAGCAGAATAGGATGACCAAGAGTGTGCATAAATCTGGGAAAGAAGGAAGGAAAGGTAAAGGTTGTCCAAAGAATGGTTGGATGGAAGAATGTAAAGGAGGTTTTAGGTTTGGGCTTGAGCAATCTACAGTCACGTGTGACTGTGTTAGATGAGGGTGAGTGGAAACAAAAGATTTTACAGATTTGACCTACTGTAATAGCGTGAGCAAGGTAACATTTATGAAGGGGGTTTTAGGGACAAAGGTTAGTTGGCCTTGAATCCTGGAAGTGTGATATAGAGTACATTTATTTTTATATTATATTATCAAGATAAGAATTCTTCCTCTGTAAGCCATGCGTGTTGTAAGAGGCGACTAAAATGCCAGGAGCAAGGGGCTAGTAACCCCTTCTCCTGTGTATATTAGAAACAAATTATCAACACATGCAGACGTTTAGATGAGCTACAAATTATGAAGAAAACTCTTTAATTAAAGTTTATTTTTGGATTCATGTATTTTGTTATTATAATGTGTGTAAAATTACCCAAAAAAGGCGATTAAAAAAAGGTATAGAGATGAGTTGGAATGTGTGTGTAAATGATTGTTATTAAATAAAAATTAGTTCGTCATTATCTTTTTACTTTCTCTGCATAACTTTTGAAGCTACTTATAATAATTTAATACAATATTACATGATCATCTGTATTAGTTGCCACTGATAGTTCTCTATGAAAGATCAGTAATTTTAATATTTAGCTGGAATTGAAACTTTCTAAGGTGCCTTCTCTAATTAACACCTTCATATAATTTCATAAGAGCTCACTGTACAGTATGTGGATGAATATAATTGTGTACTTGATAGGCACCAATTGGGGGTCAAGTATTGACAACAAGCAGGTGCATTTGCTTCTTGTAGTCACTAATGTAAGTTAAATAAGACTTTAAAGGAATGTTATAATAGTGTAGCTTCACAAAGGATATAGAGAAAAATGGTATAGAACACCAGCTTGTTGGAAACACTAGACACAAATGCATTATAATATAATTTTTTATTGACAATGTATGGTCCATGCAGTGGGCTCTATCTAGCGACATAATGTGAAACAGTGTCAGTAAAGGATTGTATTACTGCATTTGTGTCTTGTTTCCACTGTAAAGGAGACAAGGAACTGTGAAAGGAAGTCTATGGTTTGAATTGTAAGTGTTGATGGTGGTCAAACAATCAAGATGGTACTGTACATGGTGAAGCAAGATGTGCCATTAGCAATGTAAAATTTATATAAGAATAGAAGGCCAAAAAATGTTGAGGAAGGTCATATGCTGCTTTTATTGATAAGTTTCGAGAGTCTTACTAGTTTCGGAGCCTGGCCATGGATATAGTGAACTTTGAATGAAAACATATGACATGTTGATGAATAAACTTTGCAGTGAATCTGCCATACAGTATGTATAGCAGCAGTAGTAGTAATTATTTTTGTCTGCTTGTCCAAGGAAGATTGCAGAAAATTGCAAGCTATTTGCTGTATTTTTTTTATTGAGGCAGGAAATTCACTCTTACTACTGATATAGGTATTTATAAAAAAAAAAGTTATTTTAATTTTTTTTTTAGGGGTATCACCATGAAACTTCTACATTATCATATTTCAATACATATACTCTTTCAACTTGAAAAATCAGAGGACTTGGACAGTTTAAAAAAAAATGCTTTGAACAGGCCTCTCCTTAACCCTTAAACGGTCCAAACAAATCGACGTTCAAATCCGTAGTGCTCCAAAAGTAGATCTACGTTTTTTTTTACATATTTTCAAAAATAAAAAAAAAAAATGTAGATAAAAGTTTTTTGCACATTTTTAAATGTAAAGCAAGAAAGATCTACATTTTTTTACATACTTTCAAATGTTGAAAAAACGTATATATACGTTTGGACCATTTAAGGGTTAAAGGTTGTAATCCATTTTTGAGTGATAATTAGATTGGTTTAACATAAGACTTACCTATGATTTTGTGTTTCTGTTTCAGCTGGATTTTCACACAGAAACCAGCCTCAGAGTATAGACCTCAATGCACTACGATTGTGTTTTCAAGTTTTCCTAGAAGGACCTGAAAAAGGGAAATTTACTTATCCTTTGAAAGCAGTAGTTTCAGATGCAATTTTTGATAAAAGTAAGTATTTTTAACTGAAATAGTTTTATCACATACACAAATAACCCGCACATAAAAGAGAGAAGCTTACGACGACGTTTCGGTCCGACTTGGACCATTGACAAAGTCACACTAACCAGAAGTGGAGCAGGACGGCTATATATAGGCAGGAAGAGGTGGGGGTAGTAGTAGTAGTAGTAGTAGTACAAGAATGGTATATAATACCGACAAGGTGAAATTAAGACACATGCGCAACACCCGGGCATCCCTATCGTAGACGTTTCGCCATCCAGCCAGCCACTGGATGGCGAAACGTCCACAACAAAGACAACCAGACGCCGCAGCTTCTCTCTTTTATGTGCAGGTTATTTGTGTATCGTTCCAGTCACGGTATTGTGCCTTTTTTTGTTATTTATCACACACATTTTTCATCCCATGTATAGAGAGTTCTTTCATTGTGTCTCTGTTAACTTCCTTTTGATTTACCTTTATGTTCAGGAAATATTTTGTGATGTAATTTTGGCTCATTTTATCAAATTTCCAGTTGTTGTAATACTACCTGTTCTCTTGCCCATTCTGTTGTTCAGCTATACTGCTTTTATTGCTGCTAGCAAAAGCAGCCTGTAAAATATGTTGGAATTAATCATTGTCTTCTAACTTACCATATTTACCTGCGTTTTATATTCTGTGGTCATTTGAAAGGCAGCATGGGTTTTCATTGACATTTACAACAGTTGTTTTCTGAGCAGTGCTGAAATCTTTGGTTATTTACAATAGTTAATACAGTATTATTTAATTTTCTGTTGAATGAACTAATGTTATTTTCTATTTTTGTTTGCAGAAGCGACAAGTGATCTCATAATATGCAAGTTAAGTGACTGTACAAGCAGTGTGGCTGGAGGCAAAGAAATCATTCTTCTTTGTGATAAGGTCACGAAAGGTTGGTTGCCTTCCATTGTCTACAAGAGTGGTCTCAAGGTCTTGCTACCCATGTATAGAGTCAGTCAAGTACTGTATTATTAAGCTCTAGTTCCCTAAATTAATAATAATAATAATAATAATAATGATACAGTGGACCCTCTCTTTTCATCGATCTCCGTTATCGCCGATTTCCGTTTTCGTTGACTTTTTCATCAGTATTTTGGTTCCGTTTTCGTTTATTTCCTTTCTTTTCGTCGATGGTATGGAACTTGTCCAGTGCACAGACAAAGCTGCCTCCCACATGCATTTTCAGGTAGTGTTGTGTTGTTTCTCGGTGAATGAACATATCATGCCAGGTCATACGAAACATTTCGTAATACTCCATTGTTTTTGGCACTTGTTTATTGTGTGTGACTGCTAAATAAGCCACCATGGGCCCAAAGAAAGCTTCTAGTGCCAGCCCTTTCATAAAGAATGTGAGAAACACAATATACAGTGGACCCCCGCTTAACGATCACCTCCAAATGCGACCAATTATGTAAGTGTATTTATGTAAGTGCGTTTGTACGTGTATGTTTGGGGGTCTGAAATGGACTAATCTACTGCACAATATTCCTTATGGGAAAAAATTCGGTCAGTACTGGCACCTAAACATACTACTGGAATGAAAAAAGTTCGTTAACCGGGGGTCCACTGTAATTCAAGAAAAAGTTTGTAGAAAAATACGAAAGTGATGGTGGTAGTGGGTGGTAGTGGTTGTGATGGTGGTATAGGGTGCCTTCTTCAGTGATTCAGCGATTTGGGTATTGCACAATTGAAGAATTGCGGCACAATTTTACGTAACACGTCGTAAAATTAATTTAACACGGTTCAATTTATTGGAAAGGAAAAAAAAATTCTCTTTTGGTCAAGCGGCCACCTAATTGTGGAGCAGCCGTGGAGCCCTCCTGCCATCCCCTGCCACTACCCGACAACACCCCACCATCCCAGCCTTCGTATTTCATACATGTTCAGTCTGTCTCTGCTACAAGCTAGCTGTGTTTGTGAATTGTGTTATGATATTTAAATTACTATATCTTGTATCTTCTAGGTAGTAGGTTGGTAGACAGCAGCTGCCCAGGGAGGTACTACCGTCCTGCCAAGTGAGTGTAAAACGAAAGCCTGTAATTGTTTTACAAGATGGTAGGATTACTGGTGTCCATTTTTCTGTCTCATAAACATGCAAGATTTCAGGTATGTCTTGCTACTTCTCCTTACACTTAGGTCACACTACACATACATGTACAAACATATATACACACCCATCTGGGTTTTCTTCTATTTTCTTTCTTGTTCTTGTTTATTTCCTCTTACCTCCATGGGGATGTGGAACAGAATTCTTCCTCCGTAAGCCATGCGTGTTGCAAGAGGCGACTAAAATGCTGGCAGCATGGGGCTAGCAACCTCTTCTCCTGTATATATTATTAAATGTAAAAGGAGAAACTTTCGTTTTTCCTTTTGGGCCACCCCGCCTTGGTGGGATATGGCCGGTGTGTTGAAAGAAAGAAGAAGAAGAAACATGCAAAGTTTCAGGTACGTCTTGCTACTTCTACTTACACTTAGGTCACACTACACATACATGTACAAGCATATACAGTGGACCCCCGGTTAACGATATTTTTTCACTCCAGAAGTATATTCAAGTGCCAGTACTGACCGAATTTGTTCCCATAAGGAATATTGTGAAGTAGATTAGTCCATTTCAGACCCCCAAACATACACGTACAAACGCACTTACATAAATACACTTACATAATTGGTCGCATTCGGAGGTGATCGTTATGCGGGGGTCCACTGTATATACACGCCCCTCTGGGTTTTTCTATTTTCTTACTAGTTCTTGTTTATTTCCTCTTACCTCCATGGGGAAATGGAACAGAATTCTTCCTCCGTAAGCCATGCGTGTTGTCAGAGGCGACTAAAATGCCAGGAGCAAGGGGCTAGTAACCCCTTCTCCTGTATATATTACTAAATGTAAAAAGAGAAACTTTTGTTTTTCTTTTTGGGCCACCCTGCCTCGGTGGGATATGGCCGGTTTGTTGAAAAAAAAAAAATCTTGTATCTGAAGCAGTCATGACACCCAGTAGCCATACCAGTGTTGCTGAAAGTGGCAAGAAAAGGTATAAACATTTAAGTCTTAGAATTAACAAAGAAACAAAGATATTAGACAAGAGATTACCTGTAGCCGTATGAAGTGTTACATTGTGCACAGAAAAAGAGGTAAACCAGAGTTTGTGTGACTGACTGAATGACTGACTATCTTACTGAATGACTGACTGACTGAATGACTTACCGAGTGACTTGATGACTTACTGAATGATTTGACTGACTTACTGAATGACTTGACTGATTTACTAAATGACTTGGCTGATTTACTAAAAGACTTGACTGACTTACTGAATGACTTGACTGATTTATAAAATGACTTACTGAGTGACTTGACTGACTTACTGAGTGACTTGACTGAGTGACTAGATTGAGTGACTTGACTGACTGACTTACTGAGTGACTTGACTGACTTGCTGAGTGACTTGACTGACTTACTGAGTGACTTGACTGACTTACTGAGTGACTTGACTGACATACTGAATGACTTGATTGACTGAATGATATGACTGACTTACTGAGTGACTTGACTGAATGAATGACTTGATTGACTTATTGAATGACTTGACTGACTTATTGAATGACTTGACTGGCTTATTGAATGACTTACTGAGTGACTTGACTGACTTACTGAGTCAGTCATTCAAGGCACTCAGTAAGCCAGTCAAGTCATTCAATAAGTCAGTTAAGTCATTCAGTAAGTCAGTCAGTCAAGTCACTCAGTTAAGTCACTAAATGACTTGACTGACTTACTGAGTGACTAGACTGACTTACTGAATAACTTAGACACTCCAGTATAACCATCAACTTCAGTACCATCCACCTCAGCCCAGTAGGGCCACAGCATAACTCTCCAGTCTCTTCACAATCATCCACAAACACCAGCACCCACAATTTAAGGTAAGAAATACAGTGGAACCTCGACTTATGAGTTTAATCCGTTCCAGGAGCTAGCTCGTAACTCAATTTACTTGTATATCAAATTAATTTTCCTCATTTAAATTAATTGAAAAGCCATTAATTCGTTCCTGCACTTTGGAGAGAGGAGAAAAAATACTTGAATAAGATAAGATAAGATAAGATTTCGTTCGGATTTTTAACCCCGGAGGGTTAGCCACCCAGGATAACCCAAGAAAGTCAGTGCGTCATCGAGGACTGTCTAACTTATTTCCATTGGGGTCCTTAATCTTGTCCCCCAGGATGCGACCCACACCAGTCGACTAACACCCAGGTACCTATTTGCTGCTAGGTGAACAGGACAACAGGTGTAAGGAAACATGTCGAAATGTTTCCACCCGCCGGGAATCGAACCCGGGCCCTCCGTGTGTGAAGCGGGAGCTTTAGCCACCAGGCCACCGGGCCATTATCAACTGTATGGCTTATCTATCTATCACAATTCATCTAATGTGTCATAATAAACAATATAATTAGCACAGAAACATATACTCGAGAATGAATAAAATAGGCCATAGTATGGTGGCAGAGGCAGCAGCTGTAGAAGCATCAGCCATTTCTGTCCCAATCTGACTCTAGTATCTTCCCATGTTCTTACTGTAAGAGAAAACAGAGTATTTTTGAGGCTAACTGCAGTAGATCACTAGGACCCATGGTTAGAAAAAAGAAATTTGGCCAAATGACTGTAAAAAAATGCAAGCAAGCACGAGAGAACTGCCCCTACAGGGATGTAAACATGTTTACTGCTTACCAGCTGTGCCAACTAGCAGAAGCAATCTGAATTATTATTACGGACGTATTATGCATTATTATTATTATTAATTTAGGGAACTGAAGCTCTGTCGTTATTATAATAATTTTTTTTTTTTTTTCAACGAGTCGGTCGTCTCCCACCGAGGCAGGGTGACCCAAAAAAAAGAAAGAAAATCCCCAAAAAGAAAATACTTTCATCATCATTCAACACTTTCACCACACTCACACATTATCACTGCTTTTGCAGAGGTGCTCAGAATACAACAGCTTAGAAGCATATACGTATAAAGATATACAACATATCCCTCCAAACTGCCAATATCCCAAACCACTCCTTTAAAGTGCAGGCATTGTACTTCCCATTTCCAGGACTCAAGTCCGACTATATGAAAATAACCGGTTTCCCTGAATCCCTTCACTAAATATTACCCTGCTCACACTCCAACAGATCGTCAGGTCCCAAGTATCATTCGTCTCCATTCACTCCTATCTAACACGCTCATGCACACTTGCTGGAAGTCCAAGCTCTATCGTTATATTATTATTATTATTATTATTATTATTATTAATTGTTATTAATTTAGGGAACTGAAGCTCTATCGCTAATATAATAATACAGTAGACCACCATTGAAGAATTGCTGCACAATTTTATGTAACACGTCGTATAATTAATTCTCTTATGCTCAAGCGGCCACGTTGTTGTATAGCAGCCGGGGAGCGCTCCCCTACCACACCCCAACACCATCCCCTACCACCCCCCACACCAACCCACCGTCCCCTACAACTCCCCGACACCACCCCCCGACACAAACCCCCACCATCCCCTACCACTCCCCGACACCCCCCAACACAGCCCCCCCCCGACACAACCCCCCACCATCCCCTACCACCCCCCGACACAGCCCCCTACCATCCGCTACCACTCCCAGACACCACCACCCACCATCCCAGCATTCTTAATTCATACATGTCCAGTCTTTCTCTGCTACAAGGCAGCTGTGTTTGTCAATTGTGTTATAATATTTTAATTACTATATCTTGTATCTGCCAAGCAATCATGACACCCAATAGCTATACTAGTGTTGCTGAAAGTGGCACGAAGAGGTATAAGCACTTAAGTCTTAGAATTAACAAAGATATTAGACAAGAGATAACCTGTAGCCAT